CTGGCCTCCACAGCCCCATGTACTTCTTCCTGTCCAACCTGGCCACCATGGACATCATCTGTACCTCCACGATCCTGCCCAAGGTGCTGGTGGGTCTGGCTGCTCAAGAACACATCATCTCCTATGCCGGCTGCATGGCCCAGCTCTTCTTTCTCATCTGGTCTGGGTCCTCTGAGCTGCTGCTGCTCTCAGTCATGGCTTTCGACCGCTATGTGGCCATCTGCCGCCCACTGCACTATGGCACCATCATGAGCCCACGGGTTTGTGTGGTGCTGGCTGGGAGTGTGTGGGGCATCTGTGCCATGAATGCTTCAGTCAACACAGGTCTCACCGCCATGCTGACCTTCTGTGGCCCCCGTGTCATCGAGCACTTCTTCTGCGAGATCCCCCCACTGCTGCTGCTCTCCTGCAGCCCCACGCGAGTGAACAGCATCATGACTCTCCTGGCCGACGGGTTCTATGGCTTCACCAACTTCTTGCTCACCCTGGCCTCCTATGTCTGCATCATGGCCAGCATCCTGCGCATCCGCTCTCGGGAGGGCAAGCGCCGTGCCTTCACCACCTGCTCCTCCCACCTCATCGTGGTCTCTGTGTACTACTCAGCCGTGTCCTGTGCCTACATCAGCCCCGCTTCCAGCTACAGCCCTGAGAGGAGCAAAGTGGCTGGGGTGATGTACACTGTGCTGAGTCCCACCCTGAACCCACTGATCTACTCCCTCAGGAACAAGGATGTTCACCGTGCCCTGGGCAACATGCTCCCCTTCTGTCAAAGGTGAACTGACAGCCCAAGCAGGTCTCTCCACTGGTCCTCTACTCTTCTATTCCAGGCTGAGATGACCCAGGTCCTGGGGTTAGGTTTGACAGGTGGCCTTTTTGCTTAGACTTGTCACAAGTGCCCCAGCACTGACTGGGTCCCAGGACAGGTGGGTGAGCTGAACAGAACTTCAGCTGCAAACTGCCCAGTGGGGGTGGCTCCTCATGGGCCCTTGTCTCCTATAACTTTTCCCAGGACGTTCTTGATCCAGTTTTTCTTTAGATGTTCCCTCCTGCTACTCATTCAAGGTCCAACAGAAAGAAGCACAGCCCATGGCGACCTGTATCTCAATTCCCATACCTCCCCATGTCTCTGTCCAGATCCATACCCCAAATCTCAGTCCCAGCCAGCTGAATGCAGCCTTCCCTGGGTCTTCCATCCTCTTCCACCAGGAGCAGGACCCCTTGGACAGTGAGGGGCTGTGCCTCTGCCAACTGTGGTCCCACCTTACTGTGATCTCTGCATGCACCTAGTGATTCTTGTCTCTTCCAGGTGATCAGAGCTCCTTTTGACACAGTCCCTTTGGCATTGGTGTCTCACAGACTAGTGGCTTTTGGTTATGACCCTGCCCCAGGGGCCCCACACAGCATGTGGGGGAGTGCACTGAGGCAGTCCTCACTGTCCTAGTGGCTATACCACAGAGGGGGCAGGTCTGAGTGTGTGATCTTTGATCCCTCCAGTGACTGGGGGTCTAGTAGTACTTTACTTTCTGAAAACACTATCTTGCCTCAATATGTGGCCCTGGCTGGAGGCTGGTTCCCTTTCTTGAGCAGCTGATTAAGGCCATATCTAACCTCTCCCCTTACCAGGTTCTCACTCCCCTCACTCTGCACCTGCCCTAATCACCCAGGGATAGTTACCAACACCTTAGAACTTCTGTTCTTCCAAAGAAGTCTTTAAGACAGTGAACATATTTAGGAAACATATATTTATGTATATTTATAAGTATATACTAGTTTTTTCAAGTCTATATTTGAGAAAAGACTTCTTTCTTCAAAGTATAAGAAAAATTCTCTATGTCAATAGGATGAAAAATGTCCCCTCAATAGAATAAGATGACTTGAACAGACACTTGCTGGAAGCAAACCTGTTGTTGTCGTTGTTGCTGTCAGGCGCCGTCGACTGAGTTCTGACTCACAGGGACTATGCGCACCACAGAACAAGGCCCTGCCTGGTTCTGTACCATCCTCACAATGGTTGCTGTGTTTGAGCCCATTGCTGCAGCCCCTGAGTCAATCCATCCCATTGAGGGCCTTCCACTAGTTTGCTGACCTTCTGCTTTACCAAACGTCGTGCCATTCTTCTGATCCCTCCTGATAACTTGTCCGAAGTACATAAGATGAAGTCTCACCACTCTCCCTTCCAAGGAGCATTCCAGTTATACTTCTTCTAAGACAGAGTTGTTCATTCCTCTGGAAGTCTATGAAATTCTAAAAGCATTTCATGCATATACTCAATACTTCATGAATGTATTCAATATGTCATGGATATATTCAATATTGTTCTCCAACACCATAATTGAGATGCATCAATTCTTCTGCAGTTGTCCTTAGTTGTTCTCCAGGTTTGCA